AACACTTCACTTTTTCAATTTCCTTTCCTTCCCTCTATTTTGTGGTCCCCTTCCCACTTGAAAAAGATCTATCTCTGTACTTCCAAGTATCTATCTTTTATTTTGCTCTTTATTTATTCTTTGGGTGTCTCATATAAATCACGTAATATTTAAACTGTGCGTCTGACTTATTTCACTTAACATTATGGTCTCAAGGCACATCCATTTTCTTACAAATGACTCAAGTGTTTTTTTTTTTTTTTGAGACGGGGTCTCACTATATAGTTGAGAATGACCTGGAACTCACTATGCAGCCCAGGCTGGTCTCGAACTCACAGCAATCCTCCTGCCTCAGCCACCCAAGTGCTGGGATTACAGGCATGCATCACCATACCTGGCTCAAATGACTCAAGTTTAACTTTCTCTGTGACAGAGTATTACTTCACTGCGTATAAATATCACAGTTTCTTTATTCAGCCATTCACCTGTTGATGGGCATATAGGCTGTTTCCAAGATTCAGCTCTTACAAACTGTGATTTTATAAACATGGGTATGCATGGATCACTGTCATATGATATCTTGAGCTCATTTTTTTTTTTTTTTGGGACTGGGGATCAAGCTTGGGTAATTGCACTTGTGAGGCAGTCGCCAGAACTACTGAGCTAAATCCCCGGCCCTGTCTTGAGCTCTTTTGGGAAGATACCTACTATAAAATAATTGGGTCAAATGGAATTTCTATTTTGTAGTCAGCAGGACTGGGCAAGGGAATACATTAAATACAGGACATATAACTTATAAGGTTATTTGATACTTATCCAAGGAGTCAAATGCAAAGGAGTATAAGAGATAAACTGCGTACTATAAGCCGAAAACGTTCAGCTGAGGTTCTGAGTCCCAGCAGTTTCCCATAAAAGTCCATCTGAAGGCCTAGAGGCCCAGGCAACGTCTTCCTCGAGTCCAGCCAGTCACCTGGAGCCCACGGCAATGTCTCGTGCTCGTCCGTACTGAGGATCTGCACCCGGAAGACCCAAAGGCCAGGGGTAGAAGCCAGAAAACCTATGCTGGTGAGATGAAGGATCTGTGCCACAGGCTGAGGGATCCACACTGGAGCCAGGAGGTGATGCTCACGGTAAAAATGAGGGCTTCCCTGATGGAAACAACAGCCACTCCCGGCAACAGTGATGTCCCAAATTCCACCTCCGATGAGCACAGCCTAGTTTCCAGCAGAAAACCATCCATAGTAAGCTTCTCCTAGAAAATCAACAGGCCAAGATCTTCCCCTCCAGTTCTCTTTTTTGGCTCTTGGTAACGATCCTTAGGTGGATCCTCCATGACCAGACCACGCTGATTCAGTTCAGCTGGGCGTTACAAGCTGACCATTAGTCAACCCACTACATGCTAGTTTTAGTTTTTTGAGGACTCTCCATACTGATTTCCATAGAAGTTGTGCTACTTGACATCCCTACCAACCATGTTGAAGGGCTCCTTTCTCCCCAAAGCTTCTCCAGCATTTGTTATTATTTGATTTCTCAATGATGGTCATCCTTTCTGGGGTAAGAAGGACTCTCCGTGTTTTAATTTGCATTTCTCTAATGGCCAGCATTGGCATTGAGAGATATTACCATAAGTTAGCAGTTTAAACCACCTTGCACCTCTTATTTTGTGGTTCCTCATGGTCAGGAGTTTGGAGTAGGGTTTTCCACGAGACTGGAGTCAGAGTTCAGCTGGGACTGGGGTTTCATACGAGGCTTGACTGAGGCAGGGATCTGCTTCAAAGTGCATGTGGTTGTTGGCAGAACTCAATTCCTGCTATGAGATGAAGGACTTGCAATTCTTAGCCTCAGTTACTAGAGGCTGCTTGGAGTTCCTTTCAGTGTGGTGCATCCGAACAGGACATCTTGTTTCTTCAATGCCAGTAAAGAGAGATAGACTCTGCAAGATGGATATCACGTCATCACTGAATCCTATGTGCCATAATCATTAAATCAGACACAACCCAGCACCTTTGCTATATTCTACTGCTTAGAGGCAAATCTCAGGTTCCACTCATACTTAAGGGGAGGGAACACACAAGAGTGTGAGTTCTAAGAGGTGGGGAGGTTGGAGGCACCCTAACAACGGGTCTCCTACAGTGACAGTCATCAATAACACAGATAATAAGAATAGCACCCCGTAACCTGCCTCTCACCAGGCCGCGCCTCCGAACAGCGAATCAGCTATGAGCGCATTAGCGGATCAATCCGCGCACCGGTAAAGCGCCTCCGAGGTCCAGTCAACTTCCACAAGCCCCACCTCTGGACCCGTGGGGCTTCTGGGGGACGCTCAGGCCGGAGTGGTTCGTGAAGACCTATCTAACTAAAACTGCTGAAAATCTGGCATGCTCCTTCTTACTAAACCCCAAATGCCGGCGCATCTTATTCGCCCATCAGTGCAACACAAGAACGTAGCAATACAGCTACATTTTTCAAAAACGATTGGTACTAAGACCAACGTCAACCGGGAGCTGGGGAAGCTGCCACACCGGGGAGCCCCCACAGGGGTATATAACCCTGCTCTCGGGATGCAGGGCTGAGAGGGAATGGGTTAGGAACAGCGCTGCGTCCCCCAGCGTATGCGGTGCTTTCAATGTATTATTGCAAAATTGAATCTCAACTGAAAACCCATAATAGAAGTTGCCTTGTTGACTTTCTTAGGTGAGCAGCAATCATTCCCATAGGAAAAGGTGATCATGAGAGCGGCAATGGGAAATGGCTCCTCACGGCTCCGGGATGAGTTCCAGCACCCGGGACGTGAAGCTCCATGGCTCACACCTCACTAAAGAGAGGGAATTCCATGAAGATTAGTCACAAATTGTAAATCACAAAGGCCCCTCTCTTCCATTTCCTACCCTTCCCAATGTAGCTTTTCAGTCCCCACCCATACACGGTTGGGGGAGATGGAGGGACATTTGTCAGGACAGCCTAGGCTTTCGGCCATGGCAATCTAGCATTATAAAAAAACCTTGAATAGGATTCTTATGCTTGACAAATCTCAGGTTTTTGTTTTTGTTTTTTGTTTGTTTTAGTACCCGGGATCAAACTCTGGACCTAGCACGTGTGAGGCAGGTGGTGGAACCACTGAACTAAATCGCTGGCCCAATGTATGTTGTGTACTCAGAATGCTAATTGTAGATTTTATGGTTCAGGGCATCAATTGAGGTTGTCTGTTGAATGTAACACATAGTGATTTAAACATCAGAACTCTTTTTCCATGTGACAAGGATCCCAGATCTAAGCAGTCCAAAGGGTACAGTCAGCTCTGCTGTAACAGGGCCTACGGGCTAAAAATCACTGCCTCAGGCAAGATCGCATGGTAGAAGCTGTAAGTTCATGAGAAAAATGAGACTGGGACATGACACTTAAAATCTTCACTGAGAGCCAGGAGTGGCAGTGCCACTAATCCCAGTACTCTGAGAGGCTGAGGCAGGAAGATCTCAAGTTCACCAGTCTGGGTGACTTAATGGCTTAGTGAGACCCTATCTCAAAATCAAAATAAAAAAGGTCTGTGAATGCAGTCCTCGGTTTCCCAAAGACAAATATGAAAGCAAAACTTCATGGTGGACACATTAACAAAAAGATGGAAATCCAATAAAAACAGCCTCATATTTTTATACATGCTAAACAGTCAAGACATAAATACTATAATAAATATTGATAAGTACTTAGTAAATAAATACTTTAACTTGAAAAAGACCTGAAATGGGCATCAGAAGGGTTGTAGCAAATACATTATTTGAAGTGGTGGAGAGATTATCTGAAATCAGATAGAAAAATCATAAGGCCGGATATCAGTGGGTGTGATTCATGACATATATGGTGAACTAAAGTACATTAGTAGATGCTTGAGGGGCGTGTGTGAGTGTGTGTGTGTGAGTGTGTGTGTGCGCACGCACGTGCCTTTTGCTTCTTTCCACACAACTCAGTTCAGCCGAACGCAGTGTAAAGAGTTCAATGATTGTTTCTCATGGACAAAATGATGTATACACAAAAGTGAAATTTGCATTACACTCAGATTGTTCCTTCTGATGTTAGCCACACAGGAACAAATCCAAAGCAAGCATTACAGTGGAATTAGCCATGTAGCGGCTCAGGGCGGTCGTCTAACAAACAGGCTCCTAGATTTTATGTGTGGTCTTTGTCCTCACAGTGTCAAGATAGGTGTAGTGCGCCCAGATGCTCTCTTTACACTCCAGGAAGGAAGAAGGCAGAAGACGAGGAGGGGGACCAAAGCACCTTTTTGGGGAGAATTTTTACCTTGGGAAGAGGTATCTTTCCTAGGGGTTTTCATCCCTCTGTCACTGTGCAGGACTGCATGACCGAGGCACTTCTAGCCGTACAGGAGTCTGCAGGTTTTTTCTTTACCCAGGGATATCACTAGTGAGCGATGGCCAACATCACCTACAAGTGTATTAAGAGAGTCACAACAGTTTAAGAGATCGCTTTAACCAAAGTGTTAAACCTACTCAGCTCTCTAGAAAGATACTATACTATGTACTCAACCTGCACGGGAGGCTCAAAAGAGGCCGAAAACTATCTGCGGATTTGAAGTTTTCCTAGATGATGGATGATGTTTTAATATTTTATTTTTATCCCCTCATAGGATTTTTTTGTTTGTTTTTTGTTTTGTTTTTTGAGACAGGGTCTCACTGTGTAGTTGAGACTGATCTGGAACTCACTATGTAGCCCAGGCTGGTCTGGAACTCACAGCGATCCTCCTGCCTCAGCCTCCCGAGTGCTGGGATTAGAGGTGTGCCCCACCATGGCCGGTGCCTCGTAGGATATTAATGTTACCCTTCAGCTTCATAAACACTGAACACAGAACAGTTATGGGCTGGGCATTGTGCTGGGTGCTGGGGTTGTGAAGATGGCAACAGTGACGGCGATTTGCTGCTGACAGTAGTCTTGCTTGTGATGATGGCGAGGATCACCATGATGGTGATGATGGTGTGGATTGTGACGACGGCAATGACAACGATGCAGGTGTGGATGACTAACGCTGGGCCCTATTCTAAGTGCTTCACTCATGCAGGCTGTTTGGGCTTCTCACGAGGACTCTGGGGAGTAGGCAGCATAATTCTCCCAAATATACGAAAAATGAGAACACTGAAACATACAGAGGGTAAGTAATGAGCTGAATATCACTCAGTCTGGCAAATGGTGGACTTCATGATTGATTTGAATGCAGGCCCGTGTTTCTTTTTTTTTTTTGTACCTGCGGCTCGAACTCGGGACCTTGCGCTTGTGAGGCAGGCGGCGGAACCACTGAGCTGAATGCCAGGCCCCAGGCCCATGTTCTTTTCTTCTTTCTCAGTCCTGCGAACTGAACCCAGGGCCTTCCAAGTGCTCAGCAAGTGCTCTACCACTGAGCCGCACCCCCGACCCTTTTCATTTTTTTTATTTTGAAAGGTCTCAGTTATCCAGGCTGGCCTTGAACTCATGATCTTTCTGTCTCTGCCTTTGGAGTGGCAGGACTACAGGCGTGTGCCACCATGCCCAGCTAGGCCCATGTTCTTTACCATTCTCAAACCTCTAAGGGGCTGACTATTTGGTTTCCAAAATGGCATGTAAGCAAGTAACCAGTAGGCAGAAGTTATAGGTGATGTGCACAGTGTTTAAAAAATTTTAAAAACACAGATGCCAATATTTAAAAACAAAAAGATCTGCCCACATAAATATGGATTACTGGTTTCCTAAAAATATCAGATTTGGCAGTATTCAAGTAGCACTCACTTATGGAGATGTCGGTTGGAGCAAGGGGAGGCTCGTACCTTTAGCAAGGCAGGGCTCTCAGATCCTCACTGCCCCAATTGCCTACCGCTTGCCTCACCCACTTTGTCCTGGCTCGGTCCTGCAGCACTGGAGCTGTGATTCTTGCACTAAGAAGCATGAAGGATACAAAAGAGAAGCAAAAACCAGAAGCACAGAGAAGGAAGTAGGGGAAAACATTGTAAAACAGGTCAGTCTCACTTGATCAGGGCGAAGTGAGCTAATTCAAAGGCGGGGGAAGAAGGCAGTTCTTATAGAGGGAGAAGCACAGGCAAAGGATGGAAGTTTGAAAAGGCTCAGAACTAGACTCTGTTTGTCCTCATGTTTGTGGAATTTGCCACTGTCTGAACCTATTAATTTGCTACCAAAGGGAAAAACAATCTGTTTCCCGTAATCATTGTATTCAGCCAGGGCCTTTGTTGCAGCCTTCATTTCCTGTTTATTATATTGATCAGGCAAATAAGCAATTTTTTTAAAAAAAGTTCTTTTGTGAGCCAGCATTTTGCTTTACTGTCTGCAGCTTGCTTTGTGTAGAAATTGATTTGTTTTCTTTCCAGCATGCCAGGGGAATTTACCTTCCTTGCCCTCATTTTGGAGAATGTCATAGCTTGAGACTACGCCTCAGTTTTCTGAGGCAGGACATGTGCAGACTGCCTAGACTTGAACCCCATTTCCATCATTTCTAAGCCATGTGTTTCTGGATGGCTCCCTCAACCTGTCCGGGATTCAGTTCGCTTTTCTGCAAAACTGGAACAGCAGTAGTAGCCTATACCTTCTGGAGCTGGGAGGGTTTAATGAGTTATCACTTGACAATAGCTCAGCGCAGCGGCTGGGATACAGCTTTTGGTACGTGTGGGATGTTTCTAGGATGATCCACGGTGCCCAGCTTGTGCCAGTTGCCAGGGAAATGGAAGGATGCAGTCTGAGGCTGCACGGAGCTGAGTTTCTGGCAGGAAGATATCAGGCAGGCCAGAAAGAAGAATGTTTTGCTTTGTCAATGCCTTCCCTCCCCTCCCCCTCCCTCCCC